AGGAAGCCATCAGCCAAATATGAAGATTCTATACCTTTTAGTTCTTTAGAAGAAGTCGTTTGAAGTTTTTGACATATTTGACCCCTGTGACCTTGAAAACAGGTCAAGGTCATTTTCGTTCCCAAACTTTGTAGGGCTCCTACCAACGAAGCTTTCAGCCAAATATCATGACTCTAGGCCTGTCCGTTCTTCAGAAGAAGTTGTTTAAAGGAAAAGTTGAAGGACGACGGACGCCGCGCCACGGCATAAGCTCACTTGGCACTTCGTGCCAGGTGAGCTAAAAACACTAACTAACTATCTTAAAACCAATATATAAAATGTCCAGCAATAACTCTATTAAGTATACAAATTATACAGCAAGTCAAAGGTAATCTTGGGGGAGTTTCGCTTGTCAACTGCTGCATTATTTATACTGCCATTATCTGTGAAAACTGTTATCAACTTGATAAAACTGATATCTTTCACATTGTGATAGATATCACAAGTGATATTTGACAGCTTTACTTTTGGTTTTGACTAATCTGAACAGCACTATATCTTTCTAATTAACTAATAAAAAATAATGAATAGAACTGCATATTTTCTCTTCTGACACAGAAATAAGAACATAGTAGGATAAGAGGTTAAAGGTATTGATTCATAGAATTTTTTACCATTTATGTAAGCAAATATTACCGATAAACCACAGAACTCAGTAGGATTGTATGAAACTGACTAGATATGTATATAATACCTGTGACGATGACTAAACTGACTAGATATGTATTTAATACCTGTGACGATGACTTTTCCACTGCCTTCTTGGATACAGTTATACACCTGCTTTTCATGAATTGCACTATCTATGCATGTTTGGACCACCTCTCTGAGCACCTTCACTATCGTTCCTGGGCCAAACTGACTAGGTAGCTGACAGATCTTCCTTGATTGAAGGTACATCCCACAGTCACAACCATGGTTCACAAACACACAAACTGAAAATTAGAGACAGGTATTACAGTTAAACCACCAGGTTCAGAACCACAAACCAAATACTACAGGTAAATATCAGTTATGATTGTGATTATCACAAACACACAAACTGAACATTACAGACAGGTATTACAATTAAACCACAGGGTTTAGAACCACAAACCAAATATTACAGGCAAATATCAGTTATGATTGTGATTATCACAAACACACAAACTGAACATTACAGACAGGTATCACAGTTAAACCACAGGGTTTAGAACCACAAACCAAATATTCCAGGTAAATATCAGTTATGATTGTGATTATCAAAAACACACGAACTGAAAATTACAGACAGGTATTACAGATAAATCATGGGGTTCAGAACCACAAACCAAATATTACAGGTAAATACCAGTTATGATTGTGATTATCACAAACACACAAACTGAAAATTACAGACATGTATTACATATAAATCATGGGGTTCAGAACCACAAACCAAATCTTCCAGGTCAATATCAGTTATGATTGTGATTATCACAAACACACAAACTGAAAATTACAGACAGGTATTACAGTTAAACCACAAACCAAATATTACAGGTAAATACCAGTTATGATTGTGATTATCACAAACACAGAAACTGAAAATTACAGACAGGTATTACGGTTAAACCATGGGGTTCAGAACCACAAACCAAATATTACACGTAAATATCAGTTATGATTGTGATTATCACGAACACACAAACTGAACATTACAGACAGGTATCACAGTTAAACCACAGGGTTTAGAACCACAAACCAAATATTACAGGCAAATATCAGTTATGATTGTGATTATCACAAACACAGAAACTGAAAATTACAGACAGGTATTACAGTTAAACCACAAACCAAATATTACAGGTAAATACCAGTTATGATTGTGATTATCACAAACACAGAAACTGAAAATTACAGACAGGTATTACGGTTAAACCATGGGGTTCAGAACCACAACCCAAATCTTACAGGAAAATATCAGTTATGATTGTGATTATCACGAACACACAAACTGAACATTACAGACAGGTATTACAGTTAAACCACAAACCAAATATTACAGGTAAATACCAGTTATGATTGTGATTATCACAAACACACAAACTGAAAATTACAGACAGGTATTACAGTTAAACCACAAACCAAATATTACAGGTAAATACCAGTTATGATTGTGATTATCACAAACACACAAACTGAACATTACAGACAGGAATTACAGTTAAACCACAGGGTTTAGAACCACAAACCAAATATTACAGGCAAATATCAGTTATGATTGTGATTATCACGAACACACAAACTGAACATTACAGACAGGTATTACAATTAAACCACAGGGTTTAGAACCACAAACCAAATATTACAGGTAAATACCAGTTATGATTGTGATTATCACAAACACACTAACTGAAAATTACAGACAGGTATTACAGATAAATCATGGGGTTCAGAACCACAAACCAAATCTTCCAGGTCAATATCAGTTATGATTGTGATTATCACGAACACACAAACTGAACATTACAGACAGGTATTACAGTTAAACCACAAACCAAATATTACAGGTAAATACCAGTTATGATTGTGATTATCACAAACACACAAACTGAACATTACCTGTACATCAAAGTTATAGCTATGACTCACAAACACATTAAAAGTTACAGTTAAATTCACAGTAACCAAGCTCTAAAATCTGAAACTATTGTTTAAATCACACCTGTCGCAGCACTTGGTGAACTTGTGTCTGGTTCTGTAACTGTGACAAGAGGAGACTCTGCCTCTCTGGGAGATAGTGGTTTGCTATCTGCCATGTTGGGACTAGTAGAGTTAGAGTGGAGGGATTTCCCGGCTCCACCTCCGAGAGATGGAGACGCTTTGGATCCACTGTTTCCTGAGGTGTTGGATGTTGGCAGAGATATGGACAATGGCACTTCCTTCCCTTTTGAGGACTTCAACTGAGGGTTTCCTATTGAAACAAAATAATACAAAACTATGATGATACTATCTGTAATAGTTACTATTGAAACAATATAGAGCAATGGAGGCAGTTATTGACAGTCTAAGCTTCAAACTTGTTTTTCCAGTTTATCGTTCTGCCTAAGTTATTATATGATGGCATTTCGGAGAAGTCAGGAAACGTACTCTATTTCATCATCTGCAATAAGCGTACATGTGACGAATCGCGGGAGAAATCATTGTTTTGATGGCGTTAATGACGGGGGCAGTTTTCAACAGGTGGAGGTACGTAGATATCGACAGCTTAATTAGAATGTTAATTATTTCCATTATTAATCTCTCATAATTCATTCATTTGTCCTGACGTGTGTCAAAATGCTTAGAAAAAGTATAAACATGTCAAGTGATATGTCAAGTCATATATGTAAACAAACGCGCTCCCTTTTCTTCACGAATGCGCAAAACAATTACCGTCACATCATTACAATATGGTGTCCCACCCCAATTTCCAATTCTTTTGATCCCCAGTGATGCATTCCAACAGCCCAGAATTTTGGAATTATGAGGTATTTTATCCTACAACGATCGAGATCAGAAATTTTATTCAAGAAACCATAATTTACTCTTTTCAAAATAATCATTGTGGAAATGTTTTTAAATTCTTAATGTTCACAAGATTATTTATATACCTCCTGACTAACAACAATTTTCATCAATATCTGTTCTATGTAATTGTTTACTTTTCAATATATGTTATATTCTGTATTTATCTGGCTGCATTATCTTCCAATAATGATATTTTTCTAAATTTGTAATTGCAGTTTATATTGAGCATATTTACAAGACTTATCTACATGGATTTTATTGAGAACTTTGAATTTTTTAATATTTTATATATGCTTGTACTGAAGCAACATTATTTTTGCCGGTTGTTCTCCCCTTACACAATTCACGATATATTGAAATCATACACAAACCTTTGAAGTACAAGTCATTCATGAAAATATATTTCTAATGCATAAAACAAAAATTAATTGGTAATATTTTCACATACTGTCGATAACTACCTCCGATACTCAAAATGCGGCAGTTATCGACCACCCTTTTTCCGACCTTAATACTACCGCGGATGTTGATAGGACACTGACAAACGTTGCAGACTCTTCTTGAGTGAAGTTGGATTACACCATTATGTGGCAAATATTTCAGATAAAAATGTTATCAAAACTAAGAAATTTGTTTAACTGGTTTTGTCTGAATGGAACGGTTCAGAGGGATTCCGAAAAGGTAAGTGTACCTATCAAAAACACTGATTGTCTGAAAAACGGTTCGTAATTGATCCAAAACGAAATGAATAGAACCGGGAGTCAATAATACCCCGCTGTCAATAACACCCTCCGTTACTCTATAACAAAACAATAACAATACTAATAGTAATATATACTAAAATATTTACTGTTGAAACAAAATATTACAGAACAATAATGATACTCATAGTAATATTTACTAAATTTGTTTTTTAATTTTGATTCTTGACTGCAATCTGATAATTCTTTTGCCGGATTTGACATCATTGTGAAAAGATTGGATGCATGTACTGAGAAATTCTTACAATCCCTGATCCCCTAGCTCAGTTAAAGCCATACCTTTCTGGCCAGGAGGTTGAAGCTGGTGACCACTTTTCAAACACCAGTCACAGGGAAACAGGTCTCTGGAGTCATATCTACACCAGTAGTCAAAAGCCCCCCTCCATCCATCAAACGTCACATGAATCTGGTCTCCATTCACTGCCCCGACTGTTGCAGGGCATATGAGCTGTGGATTTTTCCTATCTACTGCTTCCAGTTTCATTCCCACTTTAAACTCATTACATTTAGGTGTTGGAGGTTCCTTTTAAAACAATAGTTTATAAAATATAATTTACCTCACAACCTTTAATGCTACATACATAGCTATTGCACAACATTATCAAAATTCAGCATATTACAATGTCACACTATGAAATGTAAGATGGAAATACTGCATACAGGTTTAAAGTTGAACTGTGTTATTTTCACGTTTTCATCACAAAACAAATTTTAAGGCAGTGTAGAATTTGCAGGAAACAGGTCAATATTTTCATATTTCTTATGCTATCATGTGTATGACACATACACTTTCAGCTGATCATCAACCAGGTACCGAATGGAATAAAATATAGAATGATGTTTTTTGTAAAGCAGCCTCCTCAGCTGGTATGTATCTGATTGGTTTAAACTGGCACAAAAAGGTGACCTGCATGGACATATAGTTAGTTACACATACATAATGTACCAGTGTGTAATTGTCTTCAGTCTGGAACTAGATCTTACAAATTATAATAACCTGAGCTGGAAATTGTCACTGCAATGTCAAATTAGCTAATCATTCCCTCAGCAGAAAGCCCAAAATTAACACTGTTGTGAAAATAATGCAGTATACTGCATGATGACAAGTTTAGTACCAGTAGCAGACATAACAAAGTGGGGCATGTAAAATATAAGTAGTGGAAAAGAAACAGTAAGACTTGTTCACCAAAAAGACAGAAGGAACTGGTCAAATTACCCCCTTAATGACCTCCATATCATAAAAGTTGCTACCCACAATGTCTTATTCTCCTTTTATAAAGTTCATGAAATTTGTTCTAGTCAGACATTCTGAGTGTATTCATGTTCATAATAAATTGCTTGAAGATTAATTCTGAGTAAACAAAAGTCTTGTCTGAAATAAAGAGAAAACAACATGCTCAGACTACCTTTTTGAAGCATTCTGCTGGTGCAACTTCTGCTCCATTTAATGTTTTCTGCAAGAAAGCTGGCCAGGAGGAGGGGTTCATGCGAAATCCTGAAAAATATCACAAGCACTTAAGACAGTTTAATCATCAAATATTTTTTTTATTTTCCAAGATAAAACAACTGATCCATAAGTCCAAATTTGAATAAACTCTATCTGGTAGACCATAGACTTGTGATACCTAGCATTACCTAAAGGAGGCTGTAGGAGTCCTCCAAACAGTTCACAGTATCCAATGAGATGGAGATCTGACGAGTCAACTAGTCTCCAGAAGTCATTCTTGTTGTCACTCCCATCAAGCCGGAGTCGGAGTCGTGGGCCGATCATTCCCACCACTGATGCCACACAAATTGAGGTCAGGTTTCTAGGGTCAACTGCCTCTATCTTCATGTTCAGCTTGAACTCATTCAAAGGTGGAGTAAAAGACTGAAAAGATCAATTAGTTAAATAAGTTACTGTTATGACAGTCAATAAAGACACCACTGTTATTTTCTTGTAACCATCATAAATCAGTGACAAAGGAGAATTGTCTTAGTGGTTAACATGTGTAACTTATGTGCTTAGGAAGGAGTGTAATCTTGAAAACAACTTTAAGAGAGAAAGAGAGATGATGAAACAGCTGTATTTAGGATGCAAAGAATGTCAATACAATAGTGATGGGCGGATGATCGATTATAATCGAAAATCGTTCAGTTTTTCCTTTCTGATTCCGATTATCGATTTCAAATTCCATTAATGATGTGATCAGTTCTTCATTATAATCAAAAAGTTTGATGTTTTCAATGTAAAAAATGTATTGAAAGTCATATATTCTTATAATTTTTACAATATGATCGATAGAACTGCAAAAGAAAATGCTTGAAATCCTATCATTATAAAAGAACAAAATCTATTGATTAGTTAACAACTCTGTCTATTGATGTTAATGGTATTCTTCTTACTTTATTTGGGTGTTCAGTCAATTAAAATTAAGATCTGATTATGAAATCGATCTTCGATCAGTTTATTACTTCTGATTACAAACCGATTATCAATTATGATTTTAAACTGATTGCCTAACACTACAATACAATCATACCTTGTCCATGTGAGGACTCAGTATCACAAGTCACAAAATATTGAAGAAAACTAGAAAAGGTCTGTAAGACATAAATGCCCCTGCCATGTGAAATTAGTTTCAGTGTTCTATAAAAAGTTACAACCACTGTGATCTTGATACCCTGAAACATGCATACACACAAGGTACTACACTTAAAGTTGATTTTAATATTCATATTTTTTTTCTGTATGTTAAAATTATTACCATCTCCATTAAACATATAGAATGAAGTTGCTAAGTGTTTAAATTGAATCAGTTGATGATTTTCTATATACATGTATAGCAACAGTGACCTTGGCCTTGACCTTGGAACCCTGAAACAACAATGTCCGAAGTATACTCATACTTGACCTTTGCATAAAGTTTGACCAAAATCCATGAAAGAATGATGTTGCTAAGTGTATAAATTGAATCAGTTGATGATTTTCTATATATAGCAAGTGACCTTGGCCTTTACCTTAAAACCTGAAACACAAGGATGTCAGAGGTATACCCATATATTTGACCTTTGTATAAAGTTTTACCCAAACCTGTAAAAGAATGAATTTGCTAAGTGTTTAAATTGAATCAGTTGATGATGTTCTATATATAGCAACAGTGACCTTGACCTTGGAACCCTGGAACCCTGAAACACAGCAATGTCCGAAGTATACTCATACTTGACCTTTGTATAAAGTTTGACCAAAATCTGTGAAAGAATGAAGTTGCTAAGTGTTTAAATTGAATCAGTTGATGATGTTCTATATATAGCAACAGTGACCTTGACCTTGGAACCCTGGAACCCTGAAACACAACAATGTCTGAAGTATACCCCTACTTGACCTTTGAATAAAGTTTGACCGAAATCTGTCAAAGAATGAAGTTGCTAGATGTCCGAAGTATACTCATACTTGACTTTTGTATAAAGTTTGACCAAAATCTGTCAAAGAATGAAGTTGCTAGATGTCCAAGTATACTCATACTTGACCTTTGTATAAAGTTTGACCAAAATCTGTCAAAGAATGAAGTTGCTAAGTGTTTACATTGAATCAGGACAGTATTTGACTGGTGTTTACATTGAATCGGGACGCGACGGAATGGGACGTACATGGGCAACACTATATGCCCGCCCCCCTTTTTTACGTTAACAATTCTTACCTTGAGTTTCATACTGGTATGAGGTTCCCTTCGCTGCTGGTAATGCAGCCACAGAAACAAGGTTATAATTATGATCATATCACTTACAGCCAATGTTCTAATATTTCTGTACATGCAACAAAACCCACCTAAGATTACAATTGCAATTTTCACCATATAATTTACTTAAAATATCTAACACGAAACATTAACGAGCAAAACTATTATTTTCCCCATTTCATTTGTTGCAATTTGACACCATTATCTTAGAATTTGGTCCTCTTATTACCTGTTTGAAGCAGCTTTGTGGGGCTGCTATTGACCCACTCTCCACCAAGTAATTGTCCCAGTCAAAACTGCCTGTAGATGACAAAGGTGATGCAATATTGTATGAAATCACAAACATAATGCATTTCAATAAAAGGCCTTTTTACTGTTATAGGAATGGGGCCTACTGCATTGGAATAAACCAATAAAGGCTTCCCAAAATTAATTATTTTTTTAAGCGCATTTTCATCTCAAAGACTAAGACAGCCTTATTTCAGAAGGATTATTTCCTTTTAGATTTCAAAATGTTGCAATTTATCTGAATACAAGAAGAAAATTGAATATTTTTTCACTTCTTTTTTTTTTTTTTTTTTTTTTAGAAAATATTGCAATATTTTGCATTCAGAATGAACCCTGAATATCATCCCAATTAGGTGCAGGATGTTTGATTTGACCCAAATGCTTCATTTGGTGTTGCTATTCAGCTTGAAATGATCAATAGACTTTTTGAATCAATTCTTATGTTACGTTTACAATTCTTACCTTGTGTTTCATACTGGTATGAAGTTCCCTTCGCTGCTGGTAATGCAGCCATACTGTTGTCTTCTAATACAATTCACCTTTACTTCTTTTCTTCCAAAAAAGATCTGTATAAGAAAACATTCATATAATATATAATTATATTTGTCCTATTCTAAATTGCATATGAATCATACCCTACATTGAATTTTAAAGCCTCAAAAATTTTCCATTTCCAACTATCACATTCCCATTTTAGATCAAGTCAACTAATGACATCCCTTGTACTCCAGGGACTAGAAGACTAGTTTGATCCTTTGATGTACATCAAACAAATCCGGCTGTTACATAATGGTAAAATTGACTGACTTTGAATTAGGGTGTTGCTCCTTTGTAATCTTGAAAGGACAGGTATCAGTCTAGCGATTGGTCATCAGTCTAGCGATTGGTCAAGTGTTTTTACCCAAGACATTAGCATGGGTGCCCAGACTACACCGGGTGTTTCTATAATTGCTGGGGTCTTAATAAGGCTATGCACAATGTTGTATACATCTTCATACCCAGGTTTCTGTATGCTTCAGCTACAGCTTGGTTGTTGTCACCATGTGTTCATTAAACTTCAAATGTGGATCAATAATAATATAACAACCCCAAGATCCTGCATGCTAGTAACCGATTGTACGTTATAAACTATATTTCTCTATGGTTTAAGGAGTAGGATGTCATTTGTACTACAGCTCCCCTGACTTTCAAGTGGTTACACTTATTTGAATTTAACTCCACCAGCCAGGCCTTAGTCCATTCACATACTTTGTTCACATCGTCTTGAAAATTATTGCCATCCTCGCCAGTATTCATGATCAGTGCCCAGTATATTTTGTATCATCTGCAAACATTTTGATCAAGTTGTCTTAATACTTATGGGAGGTCATTTACACAAATAAAGAATTCCAGAGGAGTGAATATGTCGCCTGCTCAGCGCTTTTTGTGAGAAAAGTGTTTTGGCTTGAGTTAATTATCGCATACACAAGCAAAAATTAACAGTAAAACCGATGAACAGCTTTGCTATGTCAAGTGGGATATATATGCCAAAATGAGGAAAGTTGAAACTCGACAGAAAAACCTGACATAAATGTTGAACAGTATTGCTTCTATCATTACAGTACAAAATTTGAAAGGAATTGATTAACAAGAGGCCCAGAGGGCCTGTATCGCTCACCTGAATATGTTTAAAATAATTGGTACGAAGTAAAGATATAGCACACCATGGTAGGTGCTGTAAGTACATATGAAATTTCAGAAAGATCCATCCAGTACTCGAGATAAAGCATATACAAAAATTGAGTCCCCTTGGCCCAAAGATGCTCCAGACTAAATTAGGATAAAATCCCTATTGTAAAAGAAGTATTTTAAAGGTTTTACCTCTATTTCCCCTATTGGGCCCCGCCTCTCTGCCTCCAGGGGGGTTAGACACACCGTTTATACAAAATTGGTTCCCCTTCACCCAATGATGCTTCATACCAAATTTGGACAAAATCCTGTCAATCGTAAAGAAGAAGAAGGTATTTGAAGAATTTGCTATGTTTCCCCTATTGGGCCACTCCCTTCTGTCCCCAGGTGGGCCACACTCGCTGTTTATACGAAATTGAGTCCCTTTTGTCCAAGGATGCTCCAGACCAAATTAGGATAAAATCCCTGAATCCATATGGTAGAAGAAGGATTATAAAGGTTTTACTTCTATTTCCCCTATTGGGCCCCGCCTCTCTGCCTCAAGGGGGGCCACACCCACCGTTTATACAAAATTGGTTCCCCTTTACCCAAGGATGCTCCACACCAAATATGGACCAAATCCTTTCATTCCTACAGAAGAAGAAGGATTTTAAAGAATAATTTGCTATGTTTCCCCTATTGGGCC